CCTGAGACAGCAACGTTAAAAAATTTTAGTAGCAGTTGGTGTTGATAGAAACCTTAAAACTTGTTAACGTGTCCTCTTGGTGACGTCAAATACAACATGACCTCCAATTCTCATGCGATCCTCATAAAAGTGAGAGTGGGGGTTCCATAAACCGGCCCCCTCAGAAACTGGAAACGAGTGAATTCAGTCGCCACGTACACGACAAGCATAACAATTGATTGATCACACCGGCAAGGATGAAGCTTCAACTGCTATTTCTGATCAAATGTAACAACCAAGATTCCTTTTACTGACCTAAGTAAGTTTCTAGAAATATTAAAATACGTCGTAACCACTTATTATCAGATGCAGTAAAATACGTTGTAACCAATTTGTACGCGGTTAAGTAAAATAGGTTGTAACTTGTTATTGGTTAGTACCGTGTCAGTCAAGAAATATGCACATGCAATATAAATCACACTGATGTGTGTTTGCTCACATGGTGGCCGGAAATAAAGTCACAAAAAAAATCAATTTTTTTAGTACCTAAATACAATGTAAAGTAATACAACATTTTTTATAATAACATGACGCGTGATATGTAACATTGTACTTTTCAGGCATATATGAGTGGAATAATTCAATAATTTAACTTCTATGAATTTATAAACATAAATTTTCATATTCTGACTTTTCTCACACGTTCACTCACACATGTGGGGAAACACGATATTTTCAACCTGAACAATACCTTATGCGAAACATAGGCTAAACGGCCAGGTCACAAACCCGAGGGTTAGGCATAACCATTATTAACTTAGCAAAGTCAACTAGTCAGCAGCACCTGCCGCCTACATGGCTACTCTTAACAGAAAAGCAGGATTGACTGTCGCGGTTATAACGCTCCCGAAGCTGAGGGTGCGTGTAGAGCGTGTTCAGTGGCAAATCGCGACTCGAGTTTTTTTTTTTTTAATCCTCAGCCCAGCACTCCCACTAGGCCACGTACGTGAAAAGCTCTTTCATTAATATTTAGTAAAAACTACACACCTATGACTTCTTATCATCTAACATGGGAAATTTTCGCCTATGAATACTGCAAAAGTGCCATGTTGTTATTGCACCTACTGACAGCTGCCACATCTGGATTCCTACTTACGGTTTAGTCAGTAATTAATATTTTCAAACAAAATCACAATTAATTTCTCATAAAACAATCTGTCAAAGCACGTAAAATAACACCACAAAATGTGTATAATAAGCACGTGGAATTATGATTATTGATGTTGATAAATATTACTACTGGAAACAAACTATCAGGTGCTCAAAAAATGTTATAACTAGGAACACCTAAGTTTGAAACTGGTATCTTCCTAATATGTGACCACGTACACGTAGTGACTAAACTTAAGGGTCAAATTCTGTGTTCATCTGTCACTTTATTTATACTTTAAGAAATATTAAAAGTAATAAAAAAAACATTTTTCGTTGATTCGCATTCAACACAAACTTCTGTTAGATATGTACTTTGTAACTCAGCCACTAGTTCAACTTCAAGGACAGTCAATCGTTAAACTGGTATATAATTACATGATTTGGCAATGAATAAACAGTGAAAAGGATTACCTACACAGTTTTTGTTCCACTGCGTGTTATTTTATCCAAGAGAAAACTTAATTTTAATAAATTTCTTGTGGTCCCTGCAATAGGAAAACAAAAAGCAGGGAGAAAATAAAGACAACTTGAAAAACAATGTAATTTTATTATTTATAATTGAGACTGACAGAGAAGCTAAAAAGCTGATAAACACGAATACGTAAACACACACATAAATAACATTAATGACTAATTTCAGCATATACAAGTCATTGTGCGAGATAGGAACCTGACTTAACTAGATACAGCTGCATACGGACAGACTTGTATCCGTTCATATTGTAATAGCGTTTGAAGGAATAATACACTGAAAGTGCTGAAGGACAAAGGCGAATTCGTACATTCTAGGACAGGGATTCCCAACCTTTTTGTTCCTCTGTACCCCTTGGCCTTGGGCATTCTGACAGGTTCCCATGTACCCCTAACAATTAAGGATCAAAACTTGATAAAACTATATTGATTTTATATTATTTTATTATGAAATCTGTAAGTGTGGACTGGATAAGGATCTAATAGTATTGATAACATCGATAAATTGAACTCAGCGTATATTTATGTTAGCCATTTTGCACTCTTTGTCAGATTGTAGATTAAAACACTATGTAAAGTGTAAACCCTGGTTATACTCTCAGACCCCTATGTACCCCCTGAGAAGTGCGGGTTGGGAATGTCTGTTCTAGGAGGTTCAAAACAATTCGAAGGAGAATGGAACCATAATTTTAATAGTTTTCTTCTTTAACTCTTTCCTGCCACACCTTCATAAAACTTTCACGGGCTGGTGAGCCGGCTTCATAAACACCCCCCCCCCCCTTCTCCCTCGTGTGTTGCCACGTCCCATGAGCAGCACCGTCTCAAAAACCTGTACCAGGTACAAACTGCCGCGGGCTGAGTCAGCGCTCATCGCCCGACAAACCTGTATGGCAAGTGCATGCTGGTGGCGAATATTCAGTATAAACCTGCATACTGCTCTTTACGTAGGCCTAACTTGGAAGGGGAGGGGGATGCAAAGCAACTCAGATCTGTCCATGCCTGTCGGCGCGGCAACTCACCCCCAATAAACTACAAGATCCTTGCCGGTTTCCTTTTCCAGCATTGGAAAATGTAACCTAAAGAGACAACCTCCAAGTGTATTATATCGTAATAAAAACACGTGTCGCTTTGGGAAAGAATAACACGGTTTGAGTATCCTTTATCACTTTTGTAGAAACAAGTTTCGATTACTGAAGTTGGATCTTTACAAAATAAAACATGGAGCTTTTGAAGAAAATGAACGCTGAAACTTACATGCAAGATAACACAAATTACTAAAAAGTTTAGGAACTAATATGAAACTTGCTTTAAGTTCTAATCGAAATAATAATACAGTTGTTTTTTGTTCATCAAAGTCATTATTATGAGCGGTAAGGAAAAAGTGAAATTAAACTGATATCCTTTACTGATTAAATTAGCCTAATTTTGTGAGAAGAAAAAAAAAAGCAGCTCGGAATTTTAAATTTCATACAACAACATATATTCACTTGCTCCTATTGTAAGTGCACAAGTCGTGCTTCATTGTCGATGTGATTCGCTTTACTCTTGAAAACAAAATTTAAAAATATTGTGACCAACGTACACGAGAATTTACTCAGTTTCCCATTATGGTGCCTACGAGTACAACTTTGGGGGCTCTGAAAATGCGACCCCCCTTTCATTGCCGATAGGAAAATATTTTAAACAATTATCTGCCAATAGTAGTAATGATTGGGCAGACTTCTACGAGTAAATATTACGTTTTGTCTCACCCGTGATGTTATGAAGACACGTAAGATAAATTAAAGATAAAAATTCGAAACCCTACAACCCAAATGCTTTCGTATATTTATAGTTTATGTTTAATACCACTGTTATGGAGATATTACGTAATTTGTCAAACAATAGCGGTATGGATTAAGCAACCTTCCTAAAACCTTAGTACCACCGTCAGAGATGTATTACGCAACTTCACACAATAACGGTATGGATTAAGCAACCTTCCTAAAACCTTAGTACCACCGTCAGAGATGTATTACGCAACTTCACAAAGTTAAAATTGTGAAATACCCACTGACGTTCCGGAAAACTGTCGATTTCATAACCCTGCTCCAAGTTTCAATAGCTAAGAAAGCTAAACTTCTAAGGTTAAGGCGGTAATTGTTCACTAAGTAGATGTAAACAACCACTTCTTTATGGCTTGTCTATCTCTCAAAACAAATTGTTATGTGAGAAAATACATTATTAAATGGAATCCTCATTTTACATGAGAAAATGATTAATTGTGTATAAATTTTGTTATAAACCAATAGATCTAATGTTGAGGTAAAATCGTATATTGGAGGTCTCCAAGTTTCTTCAAATCCCACAAAAGAACAAAAAAAACACGCTTCACTACCAAACTTTAAGTTAGTTCTAGCTTTGTTCCAGGCCTATTCGTACAAAGAAACCGGACCTTTGTGATAACAATACACAAACTTGTGGTACCTGCATGACAAATTTTAGTTCACCTATACAATGAAAACGCGCGGTTCCATTGATTTGTGTGAGGTCGTTTCGCTCCGAGTCTCTTTAATAATAACCCATTTTTAAAAAACAATCCTACTGCACCAGTGATCAGGTCATTAAATACCTTCTGTTTCTTTAAAGATGTCAATATGTCACTGCATTATGTAACACGATTCTTTGGTAAACCCAGACTCTTGATTTATATTTCACATTGCCAAGACGAATATATTTTAGGCCTAACCAGGCTTCTATACAATGCCACGTGTGTTACTCAAGAGTCAAGGCAACCTTGTGGTACTAGTAGTAGTTGTATATTAATGACACTACTAAGGCCTTGTAATTGTATACTATACATATAGAGAGCCTTGTCCAACTGATATTTCTTATGCAGTTTTGATCGCAGTAATGCGAAGCTACATAAACGTAATTACTACAGTGCGAAAAATCGAAGTCAATATTTAGTCTTAATGCCAACAAAATTTTTGGAAATTAACTTAGCAAGAAACTGACAAAAGAAAATAACAATATATTTCCTACCAAAGCATTTACTTATCTCGGGGTTAAATATCTCAAATAACGACCTCATACTTTATAGTACAACAAGTAAAATTCAAGTAAATGAGAAATACAAAGAGCTATCTAAACATTCAATTTCAAGTAGTATGATCAGAAGTATGAAATTTGTATGCAAAACAATATAAAACCAGAATCACAGGACATTGTTTGTTTACCATAACTAACATGTCTGCCACGTTCACTATATTCCCCTAGTATTACTATTAGTAATACTGTACTACTTGTAGCACTCCAAAGATAGTATGAATACACTTACGCATCACATACGAACTTACCGACTTCTGCCGACTCTGAACGACCAAATGTTTGTAAACTGAGGATCACAAAAATTACGACAACCAAGTATCTCCGTAAGTACCGATCCATACTTCAACGCTCTTGTTGTGTAGCGAAAATTCACACCACCATCTCTTCCTTTCGACACGTTGCTGTTTCTAAAGAATGTCGGGTTCAGAATGAGCGGTCACAACAGACTCCGGTGGCAACCACGCTCTTCCTGCGTAGGAAACACTGCGCATTTAGTGGCCCTGTAACATGTATACATATCTCCAAGTCTTTATAAATGCAGCAATATTCATACAGTATGATGTTGTTTTTTCTTTTTTAGATGAAAAGAAATTAAGCGGATTTGTGAATTTTAGCAAAGCTGTTTTAAAAAAAGTGACATGTTTCTTATTCCTTAATTCGCATTTCATGTTTAAATTAACGAGACAGCAATCCCATAATAACATTCATTAAGAATATTTTCTGTAAGAGCATTACGAAACATTTTATACAGGCAGTCATACCCTTTTACTCTGTAATTCTTAAACTAACATATTAATTGTAAATTTTAGAAGTTTTTTCCACGTCAAGTTATTACATAATATTTGTTTCATTCTACCTGTTTTCTTAGAATCAGAACGTGTGACGTTATATGTTTCTTACCACGACACCTACTAATACATAAAACGAAACAGCACGGCGTACCCTTTCTAAGTGAATGAAACACGAACCAAAACAACAACAAAAACAAGTATAATCTCTCGCAGAACGTTCTGCGAGAGTTCAATTTCAGAAAGTTTTCAATATCTATTCGCTCAAAGCTTGTAAATGAATTATTAAAACACCTAGAAATACCTCAAACCGATCTCTATGCAAAATGTACCGGTAAAGCTCTTCTGTCCGTATTGATGTAACAGACTTCAACATTTCACGCTAACTGCCAAATTAATCCGTAATCATGGTTTGTTTAATTGTTTTAGATAAAAACCAGATTGAGCTACCTGATGCGTCCACCACGGAGATTCAAGTCCCGGATTTTAGCGTTGTATGTCTGTAGACTTACCGCTGTCCCACTAGGGGGACCCGTAATCACGGAGATTGAAACTTTTAAACAAAAATATTAAAATAGTTCACGGTCCGACTGAATAATTATGCATTTAATAAAAAATCCAATTTTATTAGCAATTATAAATTCAAGCTTGTTTTGTTGTTGTTTTTCGTAAATGCCCCACCAATTCTTTTTATTTGTCGTTAGCAGCCTAATTTTTACATTACCTAAACAAACAAAAAAACACGTTAACAAATAATGCTATAACATATATTGTATAAATTTGATTCAACGAATATTTTCAGTAATTGATAATACGACACTAAACAAGCCTTTCGTTCGGTGTCGTATTGGGTTTCACATTACATCAAAGTCGTTTATGCTTTAACTAAGCTGTTCTGCAACGAACACAGTTGTAAGATTAATGATCATTGAGTCCAAACGTTTCGAAGTTAGATCTTTTCCCTCTTATCAGTAGAAATTAATGGCTTCATTAATCGCTATCTCCTACGACGTATAGAACATGTTAAAATTAAGCATCATTATAAATTATAATCATGAAAGCAAGAGCCTTGAATTTTGTGAGAAAGAACTGAAGATTTGTGTAGTTTGTTTGTTGTTAAGTGCAAAGGTAAAGAATGTCCGTCGCAGGGATCGAACCCGGAATTTAGCTATATATGATTCCTCTAGCTTTCCGCTGAGCCACCGGAGTAACCTATCTGTGTCGGCAATAACAATAATAGCTCCTCTCTCGCCGACTAAAATAAGAGAGTAATTATGAAAGGTATATTGTAAAGTATTATTACCGTTTTAACAATTACAGGGCCCGGCCTGGCCAGGTGGTTAGGGCGCTCGACTCGCAATCTGAGGGTCGCCGGTTCGAATCCCTGTCCCACCAAACATGCTCGCCCTTTCCGCCGGGGGGGGCGTCATAAG